TGATGAACATAGATGCTTCATTGTTGTGTTTGGCACATATATATTTATAATTGTTATGTTTTGTTGATGTATGGTTCCATTAAACAGTATGAAATGTCCATCTTTATCCCTTTTGATTAATTTTATTTGATATGAGTATGAAAACCCCTGAAGTCTACTTTATTTGATATGAGGATGAAAACCCCTGCTTGCTTACGTAGGCCATATGAATGGTATATTTTATCCCAAACTTTCACCTTCAGTCTGTGGGCATCTTTTCCTATGAGATGAGTCTTTTGAAGGCAGCATATTGTTGGGTCTTTTTTTTTTAAATCCAATCTACCAGCCTATGTCTTTTGATTGGTGAGTTTAAGTCATTAATATTTAGGGTTATTATTGAGATATGATTTGTATTACCAGTCATTTTTGTTTATTTTTGGTATTTAGCTTGACTTGGTTTCCCTTTGGTTGGCTTTTCTTTTATTGTAGTTCTTCCCTTTGTAGATTTTCATTGTTGTTTTTCATTTTCTCCTTGTGGAATATTTTGTTAAGAATGTTCTGTAGTGCAGGCTTTCTTGCTGTAAATTCTTTTAGCTTTTGTTTATCATTGAAGGTTTTTATTTCATTATTAAATTTGAAGCTTAATTTTCCTGGATATAATATTCTTGGTTGGCATCCATATCTTTTAGAGCTTGGTATATGTTGTTCCAGGATCGCCTGGCTTTGAGAGTCTGGGTTGAAAAATCTGCTGAGATCTGAATTGGTCTTCCCTTATAGGTAATCTGATTTTTCTCTCTTACAGCCTTTAAAATTCCATCCTTATTCTGTGTGCCATAAATTTTCATTATAATATGTCTTGGTGTAAATATGTAGTAATTTTGTACATTTGGTGTCCAATAGGCCTCTTGTATTTGATTTTCCAATTCATTCTTCATGCTTGGGAAATTTTCTAATATTATTTCATTGAAGAGATTGTGCGTTCCTTTGGTTTGAATCTCTGAATCTTCCTCTATCTCAATCAATTTTAAATTTGGTATTTTGATGGTATTCCATAATTCTTGGGTGTACTGTTTCTGGTTTCTTACCATCTTCACTGTGAGTTCAACTTTATTTTCAATATTGTGTATTTTGTCTTCATTGTCTGAGGTTCTGTTTTCTAAGTGGTCTAGTCTGTTGGTGATGCGATCTATTGAGTTTTTTAATTGGCTTATTGTTTCTTTCATTTCAAGGAATTTTTTTTCAGTATCTCTATCTCTTTCTTTAAGTAATCTATTTACTCTCTTATCTCTTAGTTGGAGTGATCAATTTTTGCCTGTATCTGCTCACTTAGGTTGTTCTTTAATTCCAAAATCATTTTAGTTATGTATATTCTGAACTCCTTGTCTGACATTTCAACTACATTCACTGTCTATGGATTCTATTGTTATAGTGTCTTGGCTTGTTTGGGCCACTTTCCTCCCTTGTTTTTTTTATGATGTCTATGTGTCTTCCTCTCTTGTAGTGTAGATCTGAGGTATTACAGCTTCTGCCCTATTGTCTTATGGTGTGCCTACAGGTTACCAATACCTCAATTTTAAGAGAGAGATTAATATTATAGCACTCAATGTACCCAAAATGCAGCCATATTTCAGTTAGCTTCTATTTTTACATTTACAGTTCTGTCACTATCAATAGAAATAATGAGTTCGGTTATCTACAACCATATAATCAATATATTTGCGTAATGGTTTACAGTTTCTGATGGTTGAAGGGGGGACTGGGTGGTTGGCTGAGATGTTTATGAGGTAGGATGTGAGAGTATAGAGATATTAGGTTATATGACTAGTGAGAGGATAATCATAGGAAGTTGGCTGTTATTAGGAGAAACAGGAGATAGGCAACCCTAGCAAGACTCCCTGTTATCTCAGCAACAGGATAACTGTTAGCACCCCTAGTAGAGAAACCTCTGGTGCAGCCAAGCCACAGGGACCTTGGTGGCATCTTACCAGGTCCTTATCATTGTCCTTTGATAGAAACGGCGAAATCCCAGTTTTGTGGCAGTGGCAACCTCAATCCTGTATGTTTCCTGATGTTGGGCTGTGGAGCCATGCTTTGGTGAATAAGGAACCCCAGTGCAAGGTGGCCCTCAATGTGGGCACGGGATGGCTCTGCCCTGGAACTCTGGGACACAGTGACTCAGAGCCTCCTAATATTTTGAATGCATTTTATTTATAAGAAAAGTGTGGGTTAGAGAGTTTAAGTGGGTTGTGATATATCACATATACATCCAGGTAGAATGAAATTCAATGTAAAAATCTTTATTCTTAATTAAAACTGATTTTATAACTTTTGAAATTTGGATTTGTTATAATTGTTAAGTTCATTTATCTTCGGAATTATATACAAAACCCTTGCTGTATGGATTTTCATGGTTCCTGTTTTATTTTCAGCTGATTTTGACCATTTTTTTTAGTACTGAGTATATTTATTAACGTGGTTTCCTACTTTTATTTTGTAAGGAAAATGTGCTAGTCTTTATGTCCATGGTAATTTGGCTATGTGTACTCACATAAGATCATAATATTTACAAAACCAGAAAAATTATAAGCAGTAATATAAAGCAATTCTTATCAAATTCTACCATACAAGAAAATGAGATGTTTATGAAGTTGATGTAGTGAACCAATGTGACAATAAGTTTAAAAACTTAAGGAAGCCAACAATCCCAAAAGTTGCCATCTTATCAGTAGTAATGAGTGTTTTGATGGAGGACTGAATTATTAACAAAAGCCCAGTAGCTTACTTGTAGACAAGGAAATGTTGACTTAAAAAAATTATAAATTACTATTGTAAGTTACTATTTCATGATTTAACATAAACAGACTTGTGAGTCAGCTTTTTGTCACTGTGGACAAAACACCTGACATAAGTACAACTTATACTGGGAAAAGTATTTTGCCTTAAGGTTTGAGAGGCTTCACTCCACAGTCAACTAACTCCATGGCTCTGGACCTCAGGCAAGGCAGAACAACATGGCAGAAGGGCCTGGCAAAGGAAAGCTGCTCAGCTCATGGCAGCCTGGGAGCAGAGAAAGAGAATCCAGAGCCAAGATAAACCTTTCCAGGGCAGGCCCCTAGAGACCCACTTCCTCCACCTAGGCCCCTCCTCCTACAGTTTCCACGCCTCCCCCCATAGTCCATTCAGATATCAGTTGGTTAATCAATTGATGAGGTGAGAGGCCTCATGATCCAATCACTTCCCAAGAGCTTCACCTCTGAATATTGCACTGGGAACCAAGTCTTGAAAACTAAGTGTTTGGGGAATCTTTCATCTCCAAACCTTAACACTGTATTAAGCATGTTATTATGATTTTCATACATCAGTTACATAAAATCTACCCAAACAATATATTGAAAACAATGGGCAACTATGCACACAAATGAGGAATTATCAATCTTGCCAATCTACTGTTTTTTCTTTCTCCACTTCATAGTCACTACCTCCTCCTCTAACCTATACCCCTTCTCTCCCTAGGCTGTTAACATTTCAGCTGAGCTTCTTGGTTCACACTTCTCCCATTCACAGAGAAAATGTGGGGCATTGAGATCCAAATGATGCTAAATAAAATTAGGCTGCCTTTAAAAAAAAAAACTGTTCTTAAGTCTTTAAAGTTTTACACATTCTGTTTTATTTAGTCTTTTTCTGAGAAAAGTGTTGTCTTTCTGCTTCTTTACCACTTTCACTTTCCTCTTGAAGCTAGAAGCCAAATAGCATGAAAAATGAAAACAAAAATGGCTGAGCCATTATTTCCAAAAATTTTGATACATCATTTTTCTTTCTCTAGTGAAGATTCCTAGAAAGTTCTTATTGCGTCTGAGAACATCAAGGCAAAGATAACCATGCAAATCTAAATTAGATGAAAATTCAAGTGAATATCTCCTCAGATGACATGACACACCAAAGTTCTTTTCTGCCCTTGCTCACCTACCACCTACTCCAGTATTGTTTCCACTCATTAATTCTAGGATTCGCCTCTCACTGAGGTTGCCAGGTCCATCAGTATTCCCACAGTGGTTATGGATTCAATCCACAGGGCAGCTTACTAACATTAGACATAGCACCAACTAATAAAAGGGAAAATGATAATTTTAATTAAACATATCATGATTTACAACTAACCCAATATTAAGCATATTAATATGATTTTTCAGTACATCAAATCAATGAAATCTATTAGGACATAAATAAATTAAATGAAAACTTGTAGGAAACAATAACCTACATTCCTACATTCTTTTTTCAGATCACACACTACTCTTTTCTCTTTGCTTCAGAATGAAACCTCTCAGAATTCTCTTCTCTTTGTTATCACTAACTACCTTTTATTATTCATCTTAGACCTATGTCAAAATGGCTTCTGGTGATCAATTCTACCAAACCAGCTGTCATTAAGATCACCACTGCCCTTCACTTTCCCAATGTATTAAAGAGTTTCAAAACATCTTCCAAAAATCCATGAATTTCTCTACTTCTAAGGGAGTTCTTATCTTAAAAATACTTTATTTCTGCCATTCTCTCTTGATGTCCTTCTAAACTCAGGGTATTCCACCTCTGTCTCCTTCCTGATTGTTCTCTCCTCTCCCTTTAATAAAAGTCGAAAAGTTCTCAGGATCAAGTTTAAGTCTTTTTCTCCCTCCTCACTCTCTCCACAAGACCACCTCCAAATGTAGCACAAGGGGGAAGTCAATTCTACCATTTTTTTTTAGATCGAGTTGTAAAATCAGGCTTGACAAGTCTTTTCATTAAGTTTATTGTGTTCAACATAGAAGAAATTTTCCATAGTAAAAATTTAATGAACAATGCAAAATAAAAAGTTGACTAAATATAAAATGTACTTTTTTATATTAATCACAATGTAAAGGTTTACTTCAGCTTCTATGAACAATTCAGAAACAAATCTGAAACAATTCAGATCTTATAAATAACATAAAAATAAATATTTAAATAAATAGAAAAAAAAGATACATGATGGTCCTGGGTAAATGGGATGTTGTCTAATATTCTTGAAATCATCTGAAAAATTGGTTGAATTCATTTCAAAATTCCAGCAGGAATGAGTCTTTGAAATGGCAGAACTTGTGGGAATGTGGTAAGGTGTGTTCGTCAGTGAGAGGCATTTCCCTGTTGGACCAGGTCTCATTCCATGCTCCTTAGTCTTCCATACAAGTTGGCTGATGAAGAGAAGGATTTCATGATTTCTGCTCTGACCACCTCCCAGGCACAAGGCAGGTATTTCTTCTCCTTCAGGTAGACAGTGATCCTGTGGAAGTATTTCCTCACAGCCCTCAGGGGAGCCTCTTCCACCCCCACCTGCTGGGTCCCACAGGCTTTCAGGTCATCCAGATGCTGATGGAGGCCAGTGAGGAAGGTGTCCAGGAGGGTCTTGTCCCAAGCAGCAAAGGCCTCCTGGGTGCTGAAGAGGTTGAAGATCTGCTGGGTCATCTCATGGAGGACAGCAACAGCTTGAGTCTTCTGCACCTGCTCACCCTCCAACTGCTCCTGGGGGAAGGCAAAGTCCTTTCTGTAGTTCAGGCAGGAGAAAGTGCGAATTTTCCTCATTTTTTCCAGGAGTGTCAGGGCTCCCACCTCATTTCCGTCAGAAGTTTCAAGACCCAGGTTGTGTATCTGAGGCAGGTCACAGCCCAGAGAGCAGGTGGACTTGCAGTTGAACACCATCAGGGCCAGCAGGAAAGCCAAGGGCAAGGCCATTGGGGATCTTGTAGATGCTGCTGGGCTGCTTGAGATGGGTGATCTTGAACCTTTGTCTCTAGGTTCTCTGAAGACCTTGCTTTTTGTCTATGTCTTAAATAGGAACCAATATGCTCTCAATTTTTTGAATGTCATCAGAACTTTCTACTTCTGTTTTTGCTTTCCTTTATGCATTCTCTACATGTGCTTAGATTAATGTTTTACAATCATTTTTGAAATTATTGCTTTCCCTCTCCTGCTCCCAAAGACTTTTAAGATATTTTTTTTTACCATTGAAACCTCCATTATATTTTAGTAACACAGATATACTGAATACCTATATGTGTACCCTATGTATATCTCTCATTTGTGTATAAAAATGACAAATTTAAACTTTGTGTTCAATACAAAGTTCAAAATTAGTAAGAATTTTAAGGTAAAAGTTAATTTCATAAGCTATTGGTATTTTACTTATATTCAAATCCAGATAGTTTCTAAGGGACTTTACTGTAATTAATATACTTACAGAAAATTTAATATATCTTATCATGTCCAAATTAGCAATTTATTAAAACAAAATAATTGCCATGTAATTATATATTCAAAAATCTTTTAAATGTTAGGACACTGAAAACTGAAATATTTGAATTTTTATTTTTAGTGTACTTTTTTTCCTTCAAAGAGAAATTATTTTTACATAGCTAGATACTAGATGCTTATACAGGTTATAGATATCTTATTTTCCACAGTACTGACATAATTATAAAATATAGTGCTTCTGTATTATTTCTCAAAGTCCATAACCCATGCAGGAGCTCTGAGGATCAAGCACAACAAACACCTGATGCAGCAGACAATGACAGTCCATGGGTACCCAGAAGCCACCTCCTAAAACATTACTTTGAGATCTAATAACCCTGGAATAACCCTCCAATCCCAGCCATCTATTTACCATGGATTTGGAGCACTGATCTTGCACAGATTTTGCTTACCTTAATGAATTTAGTGTCAATAAATTGTTTTTCCAGTGATGTGGACCAAACCTATTGTCTTGTGTTTGTCAGGCAAGTACTCAACCAGGGAACCATGTCCACAGGCCTAGAAAACCCACTGGAAAAAAAATACTGAAGAATAAGTGTGGGGTGAGTTTTCAGTACCACAAACCATTACAATACCTAAGATTTAGTTGTATCTCTAAGGCCTAATTTCTTAAATCTTGGGACAAATATCATACTGAATAAGAAAGCACAATTGAGAAATTATGATCAATATTATTTAATCTTTTCCTGTTTAAGTTATAATTTCTCAAACTTCAGAACGCTAATCCTAATTGGTTCTTACCAAACAAAGGAAGCTGACTTTTCCCTAAATGTGAATAATTGAACATAAAGATTATTAAGTGCATGGGCTATGTAATTGTTTTATATAGCATGCAAGACATCAGATATTTTTTTTTCTCATTACCTTTTTTAGAAAGCAAAAGCTGTCACTTTTTGTATCACAATGTTTGGTGTCAAAAACCACAAATGTATGTCCAAGTGTGATAAAAATGTAAAGAAGACCAGTGCAGTGGTTTGGAGGCTGAGGCAGAAGGATTGAGAGTTCAAAGTTAGACCCAGCAACTTAGCAAGGCCCTAAGCAACTCAACAAGACCCTGTCTTTAAAAAAAAAATACAAAAAATGGGCTAGGGATGTGGCTCAGTGGTCATGCATCCCCTGGTTCAATCCTTGGTACAAAAAAAAAAAAAAAAAGTAAAGAAAGCAATATTCCACTGGAAACAAAGGACAAAATAAATTAGGATTGGACCTTTAAAGTTTATTTGGGAAATTGGAATTTAAACAGGAAAAGATTAAATAATAGCTACAAATAGCTACATTCAGTGCAGCTGAGATAAGATTCACCAATGGAATGGACAAGGGCAAGATGTTTAAAGGGTGCATATGAAAGTAGCAAGCAGCTGTGGGTTCAAAGAAGGGTCATTACTCCCTATGAAGGGTTTGTCTCCAGTTTTGCTAAACCCACTTTTTACACAGATGCATGGAAGACAACCCAATGATTTCACAAGACATATTATTCTCTCTAGATAATGGACAAGGGTTAATTGTATCAAGTTCTCCCATAATTAATAAATAAATTGGAAGATCAATATTCTTGTCATGTCTCTGATAAAAAACAAAGAATTGATACATTCAAAGTACAGTTCCCCCCAAGTTAATAGAGTTAAATAAAACACATGTATGCATATATAATACACATATATCAATATATCATGTTAATAAAAAGAATAAGATATCCAAGTTGTGTTAAGTGTTTATTGTCAGTCAGATACTGTTCCTAGAATTTATAAAATTGATCCTTTACTGATAGGTATGCCATAATGCTGCCATTATTATTATTATTATTATTATTATTATTATTATTGTTATTATTATTCCAGGGATTGAACCCAGGGGCGATTAACCACTGAGCCACATTCCTAGCCCTTTTAAAAATATTTTACTTAGAGACAGTGTCTCACTAAGTTGCTTAGGCCCTTGCTAAGTTGCTGAGTCTGGCTTTGAACTCGCAATCCTCCTGCCTCAGGCTCCCAAGCTGCTGGGATTTCAGGCATGCACCACCATGTCTGGCTAATTTTTCATATATATTGAGCATGTATCATGTGCTCAGTGCATTGAGTTGCTGGAGACATTGGTGACTAAAGCAGATAGTGAGAGGTTCTACTATCACCATTTACAAAAGAAAAATGGAAGCACAGAGAGCTCATGAACAGTGGAGTTGCTGTTGGAACTCTGTACATACCCACTTTTGGTCCTCAGATCTTAGATGCTCTCTGGGGACATTTCTGGCTAGAAGAACCACAACTTATTTCTAGACTGATTTCCAGTAGAGCTCTGCCTCAGCAATGGCAATCTTTCTCTTTAGTTCCCATTACTCCCCTTCACTCATGCCAGGATTGGTGCATTATTTCAACATTGGCCACATTTTACTTATAAATGTTACATCCTGGGATTTTTTTTGTCTTCTTCAGAATTCATCTTCATAAGCTGGAATATATTTGTAAAAAAGTTGGTGCAGCCATCCAAGTTGTGTATTTATGAGCAACTCTTTGAAAACTTACATATTTCTATCCATGCATTCAAATATCTATATGGCTTTATATCCCTGTTTACCAGAAGCTTAAGGCAGTGGGTCACGATCAGGCTAGAGGCATGAGCTCAATCTCAACTAAACCATTAGCTAAGGCTTAGAGCTCACAGCTAAAAGGGCTCACTGAGGCAATTAAAGGTGTAGAAATTAAAACCATTCTGGAGAAATGAGGAGGGTTCAGCACACTGGAGGAGGAGGACGGAGATGGCAAAAGGCTCTGTCTGGGTCAACAGCCTTGTCAGTTGCTTCATGTTTCCTGTTCATAGCCTGGAGAAGTTTGCTGCTTGGTTTATTATAGTGACTTTTCTTGAGGAATAAAGCCCAGATAATGGAAAATGTAAGGATAAAACTAAAAAGAGGGGTTGGGAGAAATAATATATTGCAGTGGTGGCAGGATGAGCATAGAAATGGAGAAAGTTCTGCCTTTGACTTTCATATTTTTGGTGGATGTTGACTGAAGTGACAACTGCTGATCTTTATCCTTTGATTTTTTTGAGACATCCCCACACAAACCTAAATGGTGACTGCTGATTTCCTTTTTTATCACCTTTATTCCAATGGGGCAGTGAATTTTATTTCATTTTTATTTCCAAATGTGGCATGTAATGATTAAAATATCATGTCAAATTGAAAAAAACAATGGATTTCAATTCCTGGGTCCAGTGGTTCGTTTTTTTTTTTTCTGCAGAAGTTTTGATTCTTCTTTATAGATGGCTATAGGTTCTCTTCTAGCTCCACCTATTCTCTCCTCAGGAATTTGGAAGATATTTATAAGCAGAAACATCTTCTTACCCAAACTTATTCCCTAGGCATTTATTCCAATTCATATCATTTCAAAACCTCAGTCAGAATTTATGAGAGAAATAATCCTTAAAATAGTGGTAAAAAATAATACCAATACATACAATATATGACTTGAGAGGACATTTAATCTAAAGATACTTCTAAAATTCTTTATTGGTCTTCAAGAAAAGCTGGCATTGAAGATTGTATGGAATACTTTATAAAAAGAATAACCATTTCATTTTACGAATATTTTTCCTAGTTTGTATGTTAATATTTAGAATATCAACATGAGAAATGAAGCCTGATTACAATTGGAAGATTCACTGCCCCCTTTTGTTAAAGTGATCCTCAAGATCACTTGACTACCTTGTATGAGCTACCAGATCATACTTTCTATTCCCCACAGAACTTTACAATGTGTTCCAAGAGCTTCTCTTGATACTCTTGGTCATTTTTAAATGTATACCTATGACTTTGAGAACCAATTTAAGTGTTCTTTCAAATAATCAATAATGCTAGAAAGTTTGAAGAATGAATTTTTCCTGATGACATTCAATTTAGTGGGATTAGACATAATTTTAAAATTAATTTTGTGGGGCAAGAAAAGTGGTTATTTTTCCTCCTAAAATAGCATTAATACACATAGTGCAAAACTAAAGACTGGTCCTTTAAAAAAATTTGTCTTCTCTTCCCACAAGTCATCCAGCTAGAATTGCTTTTCCACCTTTTTTGCATCTAGGTGTCACACGGGAAGAAATTCATGCCAAGTACACATGATGGAAGTGATCTTTTTCTGTGTGGTCTCCACTCTTAAGAGCATCCCCATACGATTCATTACACTTTTCCCCTTTGAAACTTTGTATAATAGATTCCAGCACAATAGTCACACTTGGAATTACATGTTGAACATGGGCAAAGCCACCAAAGAAATGGTACTCATGTCTTTGAATCACTGTTGGAAGGATGGTCAACCAAGGAGTCACCTGACAGAAATTCCTACACCCAGTTCTGATATGAAAGCAAGATAACTTTGTAATTTGATCTAGTTACTAAGAACTTTTATCTATTATATAAAGTAAAATAATCTCATGATTTAAGTTTCAGGTATTTTCCAGTTGGTCTAAAACTCAAGAGTTGAGATTGCATTTGGAGGTTCAAGAAAAATCATGTAATTGATCAGAAAAAGTCATTTGTATAACTTTCTTTTTACTTGCTGACTTTTCTTTGGTGATTACTAATGAGGGAAAAAGACACTTCAGTTTTCTCTCTGATAACCTCCCAGGCACAGGAGCCATATTCTTTTTCCTTCAAAGAGCAGATGATTCTCTGGAAATACTTCCGAGAGCAAATCCCCAATGGGGACACAATGCTTTTTCTACGCAGTCAGCTTCAGTTAATCGAGTCTGAGTTGAAGCCTAAAGAGTAGCTGATCCAGAAGGTCGTTATCGCCGGCAGCACGGTTGTTTATCGTGCCGAAAGGATGAACCATCTGCTGGAGCATCACCTGGTAGAGATTGGTGATC